AGATGTGCGAGAAAATTTAATACTCGCACCGCACTTTGCGAAATAAAATTCTCTTCGCACATCGCACTGTGCGACAAAAAATTCTCTGTGCACACGAGTGTGCTTTTCTAATGTTACGATTGGTTTAAAGTGGGTGGCGTAGATATACAATCTAGCCCCCAACTTACGTATCTTGGTGTTACCGTTGATAGTAGGTTGAATTTCAAAACTCACCTAAAGCAATCGGGAGACAAAGACTCACGTGTTTGCAAAACATTGGCCCGGTTAATGCCAAATATAGGAGGCCCCAAGGACACAGCTAGAGTTCTTTTAGCATCCGTTTCCAAGTCGGTGATGCTATATGCTGCTCCTGTGTGGACGCATGCTACAACCATAAAGTCGTATTCACGCGTAATGAAAAGCGCACATAGATTGGCAAACCTACGCATCTGCCGTGCTTACCGTACAGTATCGGATGATGCTGCGGGAGTATTGGCAGGACGTATGTCAATAGACCTTGAAGCGCTCTTGGCCAAAGACAGCTTCTTCCTGCGTTCTCGTCTACGAATGAATGAAACTCAGCAATCTCTGTCACATACTTATCTAGAAATAAAAGACAAATATCTTAATGAATGGTAACATAGGTGGGACCATTCCCAAAAATCAAGATGGACGCATTCGTTAATTCCAAATATAAAAGTTTGTATTAACCGAGAATTTGGAGACTTGGGATTTCAATTAACGCAGTTTCTTACGGGGCATGGTTGCTTCCGTGAATACTTATACTGGTTCAGGCTTGCAATTAATCCATACTGCCAGTTTTGTCCAAATAAAATTGAGAGCCCCGACCATATAATTAGAGATTGTATAAGATTCGTAGATACTAGACAAAATCTAGAGACTATAATTGAGGAAGCCAGCCCTCCTACTGTACTAATGCAGATGTTGGCAAGCATTGAAGACTGGAGCCTCTACAAGAGCATCATATCTAGAACAATTAACACTGTTAGAGTGGACGAAATACTTAGTACACAATCAGAGTGAAAGCACACTAAGTGCTCTTCTAACCTGCCCTGTGAAGGAATACTTTAATTGGTCGTACTGCAGGGATTTACAGGAGTTTGAGCTAAGAATTCAGGGGACTTTTTAGTCCGTAGGCATGTATGACTCAATTGGGTTATGCATGAATCGGGCATGCAAATAGTACGGGCCATTTGTATCTTTGGAAGATTTTTCCCCCAGGTTCGATAGCCAAAACAAAAAAATATTACGATTGCACACAAATAACTTAAATTTCACAATTTTGTTTGAAATGGTAAATATTATTTTGCTGCAACTTTTAAGAGGATTGATATTTACGTTCGTTGGAATCGTAACGTATATTATAAATTGCATGAATTAACATGTACTATTTAAAATAATTAGTTTTTTAAGTATTTATAATGTAAACGTATTTCGATGTAACATTTTTAAATGCAAATTTTGAAAGTGATCTTAAAGTATTTGTTTGGTGAGTTTTGCTAGGGCCATAAAATAGATATAGAATTAATAAAAAAATAAATAATTAAAATAAAATATTTTTTGATAAGAAATTGAGATATTAATTTATTTTAAGAATTTTGTTAAATTTAAGCTGTAATTAAACTCAAATCGAATAAAAAAATAAATTGATGTTGCTATAATAAATATTTTATTTTTTAAATTAAATTAAAAATTTTTTCAGCTATCAGACAAACCACAATTAAACGCTTTTATTTAGAAATTTGAAGCAGATATTTCGTCCTTTATTTTAGAACATCCTCAGTGCTGTAATAATTATACAAAAAAAAAATTACAAAAAATTTTTTTTAAATTACACATAATGCACAATAATTATTTTTATTTTTAACATCACATATGTTAAGTGATCAGACAATAATAAAACTTAGAAACAAAAGTAAGAAAATGGAAAAATATAATCTATTTTGTTATGTCAAAAGAACTTTAGTACAACTTGCATAGTTGTCATAGTTTTATAAATTTAATGTTCACTCAACCTTTTTGATAATTTTTGTTTTGTCATTCCTATATAAGATTTATTGCAATCATTGCAATTAATCTTATATATTAGATTTGATAAATTTTCTTTTTTCTCTGGATCTTTCAGCTTAGAGAAAAAGACATTGGTTGTTTTAAAATTATATAATATAACGTCAATTATTTGTTCTTCTTTGAACAGTTTCGTATTGTTGTGTTTCTAACTAATTGTGTATGTTTATTTGAAAATAATATTTTGTCAATGAAATATTTGGCGTAGTTATTATTGTTCAGTATTTTTTTAATTTGTTTAATATTATCTTCCGTAAATATTTCATCACTCAAAGCTTTGACTCTGCTTAATTTAAAAAATAATACGAAAACAGATGATATCAAAAAAAACAAACATAAATATTTTTGTCGCATTTAATAGTTAATATTTTGTCAGTACTTATAATTATTTAAGAAACAATTAGATTTAAATTCTGAATTAACCTTACTATGTACAGAATTTTATTTCCATATACATATATAACTTTCTGTTAAATAAAATTTTTTGAAGTAGTCCAAAATTGATATTTCTTAATTTTTTCACTAAACTGCTGAGAAATGTAACAGTATTACTGAATTTGGAAACTTTCAATTAATATCTTTATTTTCAATAATGAACAACATTTTTAAAGAATAACACTAAACAAATTCAATTGATAATTATCAATTATATTTCAAAGCAATTTTTATTGATTTGGTGGATTTACCTGATAGCTTTTTTTTATAGCGTTTCGATCAAATAAGTGTTACTTGTGAACAACTTTTCCTTAGGAAATAGCATTCTACCTCTTTTCTAAATTTTAATTAATTGAAAGCATATCATTATGCTTCATTTATTAAAAAAAAACATCAAGAAAATTAATAAAATAGTAGAATAGTAAATTTTACTTATTGAAGTACTTTTGTTTCATTAAAAAATAATGTTCTTTGAAAATTTCTTTAAGGTTAAATATTAATATAAATGTTTTTGTTTTTATTGGAAACATAATTATTTATTTTACTTATTTTTTTGTGGTTTTTTTATTTTATTTTTAAATTTCTGATTTCTTAAGTTTCGCAAAACTGATCTTGTTTAGAATTAAATCTTATTTTGTTTGTTAAAATGTTAATATTATAATAACACTTTGTTCAATAATGTGTGTGACTGACACATAGATGGCGGCACTTATACTAAATAAATATTTTTTTTCGAAAGTGGCAACCTTTTTAGGCTTACTGTCAAAATCATATGTTAATCCGACCATTTGTTTACAAGTTATAGTGCTTTAAGTGACGCTACTTCCAAGTTTTCAAAAAAAAAATGAATTCAAAGCAATTCCGCGTGCAGATTTATCATTGTTTTTTAATGAAAAAAAATACTGTTCAATGCCAGGAATGGCTTGAAAAACATTATTCGGACTCTGCTCCATCAAAAGGAAGCATTTGTTATTGGTATGTCGAATTCAAACGTGGTCGTACAGACACCGATGACATTCCATCTACTGGACGGCCAAATGACGCTGTTATTCCGGAAAACGTTGAAAAAACACTGAAAATCATTATGTCCGACCGTAAAGTGAAAGAGAGGGAGATTGCTGACATTCTACAGATATCAGCAGGCAGTGTACACACCATAATACACGAACATTTGGGTATGAAAAAGGTGTTTTCCAATGGGTGCCACGTTTGCTCACACCGGAGCAAAAACAAACGAATCGGATGATTCAAAGAGCTGTTTGGACATGTTTACGCCAATAAGTCGGAGTTTTTGCCTCGGTACATCACGATGGATGAAACATGGATCCACCATTTCACTCCAGAGTCAAATCGGCAGTCTGCTGAGTGGCATGCAGCCGGTGAAAGCCGCCCAAAGCGACCAAAGACGCAGCAGTTGGCTGGCAAGGTTATGGCGTCTGTATTTTGGGATGCACATGGAATAATATTCATCGACTATCTCCAGAAGGGGAAGACCATCAACAGCGACTATTATATAGCGTTATTGGAGCGTTTGAAAGACGAAATCGCAAAGAAATCTCATATGGCGAAGAAAACAGATTTGTTCCACCAAGACAATGCACCGTGTCACAAGTTGATGAAAACGATGGCAAAATTGAACGAATTGAGCTACGAATTGAGCTACGAATTGCTGCCGCACCCACCGTATTCTCCAGATCTGGCCCCAGCGACTATTGGCTGTTCGCATACCTCAAAAAGATGCTCCGTGGTAAGAGATTTGGCTCAAATGATGAAGTAATCGGAGAAACTAACGCCTATTTTGAAGGCAAAGAAAAATCGTTTTACAAAGGCGGTATCGAAAGATTGCAAAAGCGTTGGAATGATTGTATCTCCCTAAAAGGGGACTATGTTGATGAATAAAAACGAATTTTGGCAAAAAAATGTGTTTTAATTAGTTAGTCACACACATTAGTGAACGAAGTGTTACTCTGGCAACCACACGTTGAAACTACTATGTATTTTCTGTTTGTTAGTTAGTTGGGTAACATCTATGATTGCGTGCGGTTGTCGGAGGTGTAGAAATGGAAGTAATTAATTTTGTATGAACAAATAAAAAAACAAAACGGTTGTACGATTTAATTTAGATGTTTGGCGTGTTATTTTTTATTTAGAATTTTGATCATTTTGGTATCCCTTGCGGAGAGCAATATTAATTTCAACTTTTGCGTTCAATTGCTGAAATTTGTTACTACTTACGAGCGCTGCGCTCTCTATCGTGAATTAGGTGATATAGTTTGCCACGTCAGCAGCTCGAAATCACGTGATTTGCTGCTGTAATAATTTCAAAAGTATCCGCTGTAAAAGTACATACCGTATTGTCGCTGCTGTGCGCAATTGTTTACTTCAATATTATTGATATGGTTTTGCTTAAATCGCGCAAGTTGATAATTTGTCTCGCACATAAAAAATGGAAAAATTAACCCACCATCAAACCGTTATAAAGAAGTTGTCGGCAAATACGAAAAAAACAGCTAAAATTAAACAAATTAAAGGCAACTTTGCTGGCCGAAAGACACTATTAGATAGCTATTGGGAAAAGTATAATGAAGCACGAGAGGTTTTACTTGCAAATATCAATGACGCATAGTTGAAAACTAAAACAAGTGAGGCAATTCTATCTTTAGTCAGTGAGGAATCGTTTATGGACATGGAAGCGATATATTGTGAAACCATCGGAGAGTTGAATGATTCAGTATCAAACTCTGCTTTAAAAAACGTATCCAGTGACAAGGATCCTGTTAGCAAAACATCGACGAATTTGGAATTAACTGCCAATCTGCCACGGATCAAAGTCCCCTCGTTCGATGGAAGTTACTTAAGTTTGTATTCATTTAAAGATTTATTCACGTCCGTCATCATCAATAACTCTGCGCTTTCCAATACACAAAAACTTCAGTATTTAAAAGATGCTTTGGTGATGAGCGCTCAACAAGCTTTAGATAATATAACTACCACGGATGCACATTTTGCAGTAGCGTGGGAGTTACTTGTCAGGAAGTACGAAATTAAAAGAATAATCATAAATTCTCATCTTAAAGAAATTGTCAATGTAAAAACGCTTCTCGACGATTCTCCAC